ATATATACATATATACATATATGTACAAACTAATAGTCCATGCTTTTTGATTGTCCTGTATCTAACCTAAACTAGTTTGATCTTCAGCCTCTTAGAAAGCGTGGCAGTTGCCACCTTTGGGGCCACATCTGCCAGAACCTGTAAGGCCGCCCGAAGGAGGTAGAAGATGTGGTACCTTTGACAGGCACTTTCCTGTTGATGTAGGGGCCTTAATAATTAGAATAGGGTTTTGGGGACCATTCTACTATAGTTTTAATATGGAAACCCGAAAACCCTATTCTAATCATGAAGGCCCCTACATTACTTCGGGACTTTTCAGGCTTTTCATGATTCGGATCTTGGCTCGAATGCTATCTGAGAGTCATGGACACGGTCAACCAGACTGGCAGCACACAACCCCCGCTGAGGGCAGAGCGTTCTCTCCCCATGTGGCCGTTCACCTACTACACGAGACGCCTGGCCGCACATTATGCTTGTGAGTCGTCCTTAAACCCCAAGCTTCATGCCGTAAACGGGTGCACAGACACCTCGAGCATGTAGGGCTGCAACGTCGCCCCCGCCACCTCCCCACCATCGGCCAAATGCACCTGTACGTTGCAGAAAACTTGCGGCCAGACTGAGCAGAAACGACTCAAAGTGCACCTCGATGAACTTCCCGAAACGGCTGGAGTTGGAATTCTGCCGCGTGTGCGCGTTCCCAAATGCCTGCCAAGAGGGCACGCGACCATGCCGAGCCGCGCAGAAGCTCGTCTGGGAGCTGTTGTTTGTTGTCTTTTTGGATTTGGTTGCTGCCGTGCAGGCCAACAAGTCGTCGCATCCCAAATAGCTTTGCTGACGGCCCCGACCCCCCTTCGAGGTTTATGATGTCAATCCGCTTAGCTCAGTCCTCTGCTGTTCACATTGCACTATTGGGATTGCAACACTGGCACATCCAAAAAAGCTGTCCGTTACATAGCATGCAGTTTATTCCTCTGTTCTGCACGCCGTCAGCCACAATAAACTTAGGAAACCGATGCTGTAAGTGGCATATAACCCCAGATCTCAAGGCTGACATCTTTGCCTCCAAGACAGGCGTGCTTCGAAGAAGCCGATCACGCACGTCTGCCGTCACTGGATGACCTGAGCAGATGGAGGTTTAGGGGTTTAGGGTTTAGGGTTTGGGGTTGAGGGTTTAGGGTCTACTTAGAAGGCCAGGGGAAGCTCCCATGCTCACTTAGTAGCGCTTCATGCTGGCTGATGGCAACACATCTGAGACGATAGGCTCGCGGCTCGCGATGTCGTCCGACTCCCAACATGCAGGATGTGCCCAATACAGTACAAAAATCATACTAGCAATCGGAAGAATCACCATCATCATCATCGTCATCATTGTCATCATCATCAACATAGTGATCATGACAAATACAATAAGGTGATGATAGTGACAGTAGACCTAATAGTCATAATCGCTATAACAGCAAGAATAAGCACAATAACAATGATAATCATAGTAATGGTTTGAATCTCTTGGTGGAGATGAAATGACAGTACTTGGCTCTTGAGGCTAACACATGCGGAACAGAATATGTGCGGATCCTATGAAGCCCCCATGCTAGTCGATGCTTGCTTTGACCTCATGCTCTCCCAGAAACCCTAGACACCGGGAAATGTGACGCTGCCCTGGTGAAAGAATGTAAGTGCGTCAGAGTACGTTAAGGACAAGAATACTTCGTTGGTTTGCTGATGAAGTCACCGGCCTACGGCATCCTAAGGCCCTACAGTTCCGAGAGCTGCACGCTTTGCAAGGAAAGCCAGCACAGCTCGTGTTGCCTGCAAGGTCAGTAGCGCATACAAATACGCTATGTATATGTATATATGTGTGTATATATATATATATACCCAGTTATATCATCTATGTCTGTATAGAGCCCTATACATTCAAATATATATATATATATATAACTGAATACTTAAAAATATATTTTATATACTCACATATCCAACAATTCTGTATCATCCTGTGGCTTGGCTCGACCCGCAGAGTCGCGTGCAGAAGCCGTTACGTAAAAAACCAACAGCCTCCGAACGACTCACATCTCCGAACTTGTGCATGAGCACCCAGTCTAGCCACCGGCACATGCCGCAGGACGCAACGTAGACACATAGACACAGGTCTGGTGCTTGGCCTCTTTTTTTCCACTTGCAACCCACTCCTGCCTGATGCGTTTTGCACCTTTGCGTCGGGAGATTGGACAGCAGAGCTGACATGCTGACGGTTCCGCGCACGGTTCGCTCGAGAGCTGCTTGAGCACATCGGGCGATCACACAGATCGGCACAGATCTAGTCCCAGTCATTCCTCCAGATCTTCAAACCGCTCTGCGACTTCGCGGTACAAATTTTCCAGTTCCGATACGGTGAACTCCGACGCGATGCCTGCACAGGTCTTGAACGTGAAACAGCCATCCTCTGAACAACACCCTTCCAAGAATCGCAACGTGCGCCACACACCCGTTGGCAGTGCCTGTGCGCAGGTCAAAAGCGGACTCGATGAGAAGTCGATCAGCACGGCGCTCCATCTTGGACGCAGGAAAATAGCCTGCTCGCAGAAAGTCTGAGTGTGAGAACAAGGACCATCCGCGCGGTGCTGGTTGCGACGACCTTCGCCACTACAATGCACAATACTACTAATACTACTACTACTACTACTACGACCACTACTACTGCTAGCCGCCCATAACTACTGGCTTGGCAGTGGCAGCTTCTAGGCTCCCTATCTGCGGCTGCTGCAGAAGATGCAGGGGCTCAGGCTCCCCATCTGTGACAGCTGCAGAAGTTGCAGAGGCACAGCCGGTGAAGTTGCAAAGGCTCAGGCCTCAAAATTGCGGCAGCAGCTGGAGTTGCAAACTCGACGAGGAAGAAACTGCCAAAGCACAGGTGGTCGGATAGTACGAAAATGCTGTAAATACCTTGCAAAACGCAGGTGCTGCTAAAGAGGTTTTAACACTCCTAAAACGTACTGGAGCGAAACATCTTATAAGCCTCAGAAACAATAAAGATGCCAGCTGTACATGGGAGGAGCTCGCCAACACCCCTAAAGCCCAGACCTCGGTGTAGGAGGGTTTGCTTTTGAAGTACTGTGTGGTGTGTGCGCGCTAGCTGTGGAGACGTTGTTCAGGGTGTCCGTGAAACAGTGTCGTGATCATCCCCCGAAAAGCTTTCCCCGACCCAATTTCGATTTTTCGCCGAAAGCCCTCCGAAATCCCAAAGTCGAGTTCGCAAAGTCCAGAAGTAGGTTTGGTGACTGTATAAGAGGTTCCGACATCACGAAAATATTGAAAATACTAAGTAAAACGGCTCTTGTTGAGATATTGTTTGGGGTGTCTGCATAACAATGTCGTCATCATCCCCCCTAACCCAAATCCGAAGCCCAATTTTTCCAAAATCCAGGAGTTGGTTTTGAGGCAACAAGAAGTGGTATGACACGACGAACGTACCGTAAATACGGAGTAAAACGGATGTGCTCTTAAGAGGATTTGTAGCAGAGGTAGTTGGCCGGGCGGGGGAGGCAGGGGGGCGACTGCTACTACTCCTATTACGACTACTACTACTACTACTACTACTACTACTACTGCTACTACTACTACTACTACTACTACTACCACTACTACCACTACTACCACTACTACCACTACCACTACCACCACCTGAAACGATACGAAAGCTACGATTGATGCTGCTGCTGCCGAGCTTGCTGCTGCACTTGCTATCCGTGCTGCTGCTGCTGCTGCTGCTGCTGCTGCAGCTGCACCTGCAGCTGCAGCTGCAGCTGCAGCTGCTGCTGCTGCTGCTGCTGCTGCTGCTGCTGCTGCTGTGCTGCTGCTGCTGCTGTGCTGCTGCTGCTGCTGCTGCTGCTGCTGCTGCTGCTGCTGCTGCTGCTGCTGCTGCTGCTGTCATGCTGCTGATCAGTGTCTTCATTTGATCGCGTGATGACTGCAAGCGACATGCGTTGTTGATGCATGCCTCTTGAGGCATATCCATGCTGAGCATTTATGTGGAACCTCGTCGTGGCTGGGAGTGCTGCTATAAGGCATGGTTCCTATAACGGTAATAATAATAATGGTAATAGTAGTAGTAGTAGTAGTAGTAGTAGTAGTAATAATAATAATAATCACAATAACAATAGTAATAATGGTGGATTCTGCTGGCCGCGGTCATTGTAATAACTGTGGTTGCTACCGTGGCAACATGCTGCGCATCATGATAAAGAAGATGATGGCAAATCTGACTGTCATGACCATGGGGACGACTTTCACTCCTATGAAAATTCTGAAACCTGCATCATGCTCAACGACAGGTTCACAATCGTAATTGCCATCATGGTCTTACATACAGTAGTGGCTAAGCCAAATTCTGCATATGTGTGTTACGACTGTGAAAATCTTGGGTGTCAAAAAATCAGTCTTGCACCTGTTGACGCCTATTCGCATGAATCGTGTGGTGATCTTGATTGTTGCTTCGAGCAAAACGACTGCTACTGCCATTACGCCCAGTACGAACAAATCAGTATCATTGCAGATCGCCTCCCAGCTCTAACGTTGTGAGCACAAGGAATCACGTTATGCTGCACTTTCCAAACCTCGCGAACCGACTGCTTGGAAGGATTGATGCGGTAACTGCAAGTTGTTGTTGATTGGCTTCTTGTTAGGCGGACGGATACTGCATGTCCCCTTTCTGGCCATCTCTACTTTCCTACTTATCCGTTTAGGATAATATAAGGGCCTAAATAATTACCGTTATACTATTTTAGGGGTTCCTCATCTTAAATTATAGTCGAACATACCCCAAAACCCTGTTCTAATTATGAAGGCCCCTACGTTAAGTAGTGTTCTGCGATCTGCCAAGCCGCGTGCTTCTGCCACTGCGAGGAAGCTCAATTTCAACCTGGAGCCTTTCATCAAGTCCTCGCATCACTGGACAGTTACTATCGTTACTTCTATTCACGCCTTTGGTTGCGATTAGTACGATTCTTAAGTTCATTACTATTACCACTATTCTTAGTATTATTACTATCACTACTTTTATTACTGTTACTAGGATTGTTCGTTACTACTGTTCCTTTTATTATTGATATCAATACTATTACTATTGCTGCTACTACTACTATTATTATACTATTACCACGATTACCATTAAATACTACTGTTGCTATTGTTGTTACTATTACTACTACTACTACTACTACTACTACTTCTATCAATAAGGTTATTGAAGTTACTACCGTTCTTCCTGTGATTATTACTACAGCTCCTATAGCAAGCTGCTTACAACTTTGGGACCGGTTTCTCCATTTCACTCATCGACAGCAGAGCACAGCAATCGAGGACAGTATGCTGCCAGAATCCGTCTAATGTCCTGGCTCTGTGGAATGCACATATGCGCTGATTAGGGCAGTTTGGCAAGCGCAATAAACTCCGTACAGCCTGTGACCGAGCAGGCCTGTGCAAAGCGGTCGCCTCCCGACATGTCTTGGAAATCTGTCCACGTCTTGCGTTTTCTGGCATCTGCGGTGTGCGGCAAGCGGTGCAGCCGCATGTCTCAAGTGCATGTTCTCATCTTATGGAGGAGATCCGAACAGGTAAGCAACAGCATGTGGTTAGAACCTTCGATGCTGAACCAAGAACGACCAAAACAAGTAGAACCTGACATGCCAAGATACACTAAATAGAACGGGGCTCCTCCTCCATTTGGGCTCTGAGCTTTTCACGATTCTCTTGCCACCTGCACATCGAGCGATTTCGGGGCATGTGTGTGCTTTTGTAGTTGCCGACCTGCTCTTGGTTCTGATTCGGGTTTAGGGTTTATGGTTTAAGGTTTCGGTTTAGGGATTTAGGTTTTGCTTCTGTTTCTGCTGTACGGTCTTGATACTCCTCAGCACTACTACAGAGAGTAGCAGTAGCAGTAACGATAGCAGCGGGACTAGGAACATCAGCTCTGGAAGTCTGGGTAAAAGCAGTGCACAAAAGAGGAGACGTGGTGCTATTGGTCGTGGTGGTAGTGCCTGCGAAAGCGGCGATGGCGGTGAAGGTGGTCGCCGTAGAGGACGAAGACTGTTACTAGTAGTACTGCTGCTACTCCTACCGCTCGCACCGCTTAGAACAATCTCGCATCTCACTCCCAACCTGCTTGTTTACATTGACATGAAAATACAGTTTTCCGGACTTGGCCCAAAAATCCTGCAAAGCCCCATCAGCACAGGGAACAATGCCAAAAAGAGCCGCACAGGGTAGCCGAATGATGGTTGGCATTCTTTGGGTTAAGTATCTCTCTATCCACCGGGTACTACCAGTCCTACTTGTTCCGGTACTAGTATGTACCGGTACGGACCCACCACTACTACTACTACTACT